GGTTAAATTGGATCGTTTTATCCAAAGAGGAAAATAGGTTCTTATTTGGATTATCGCTTCTGGAAGTTGCGCTTGCAAAGAAAGAAAGGAAGAAAAAAAAAAGGAAACTTTGACCTTGGTTTTGTGGATTAGAAAGATTTGGTGTTAATAGGAATGGCTAGTCATATATTCAGGGGTCAAAGCAAAATGTTGAGGTTGGACTGTGTTCATCTTGTACTGCGCTACGAAGAGTCGGACGCCAATGCCCTCCTTTCTTTCTTTTTCCTCTTCCCCCTTGTACCTCACATCCCCTTTCCTTCCCTTAATTTCCCTCTTCTCTTCTTTTATCTAATAACTGCTGATCCAGTTCTACAGAGGAATGATTGAGTCTGTCATCTGCACCTCTATAACTGTCGGGTTCGGTTCTGCAACCCAACAGGACAGACACAGACTCCAGAGAGTAATTAGGACTAATGCAGAAAATAGCAATTGCTACCAGCCTGCTTTCTATGGAGGACCTGTATCCTGCACGAGTCCAAAAGAGGGCTGTGAAAATATCTACAGACCCCTCACATCCCGGACATAAACTGTTTCAACTCCTCCCCTCAAAACGATGCTTATAGAGCATTGCACACCAGAACAACTAGACACAAGGACAGGTTTTCCCTGAATGCCATCACTCTGCTAAACAAATAATTCCCTCAACACTGTCCAACTATTTACAAAGTCTGAATTACTATTACTGTTAATCTTTCCATCCTTCCTACCACCCACCCCCTCCCACTTATGACTGTGTGAATGTAACTTTATTGCTTGTATCCTTACGTTTTTTATTGACTGTTTCCTAGTATGATTTGGTTGCCTATTTGTACCCTACGACTATATTCTATTTACTATACACCCTATGACTATATAGCCCCATTAAGTGTTGTACCTTATGACTCCTGACGAGTGTATCTTTTCTTTTGATGTACACTGAGAGCCTATGCACCAAGACAAATCCCTTGTGTGTCCAATCACACTGGGCCAATAAAGAATTCATTCATCCATTCATCAATATAAAAACGACCCGTTGAAAGAGAACGAAAACTCCAAAGGGAGAAGCCGTTTTCGTTCCTGGCTCTCCTTGCGCGGGAGAGAAACTGGGCAAAATCCACGCCGCCTGGCTCCGTTTCGTGCAACCTGGGAAGGTCGCGGTGCCCCTGCCGGCGTGCGCGCCCCATCCGCCCAACCCAAGCATGCTTAGAAGAAGACCGAGAACGGCCCCGGGCGCCATCCTTCTCCGTACTTGTCGAAGGTGCAGTAGGGCTTGAAGCGGTCCACCAGGATCTCCATCTTCTCCGTTTCCCCGAAGGACAGGTAAGGGATGATACGCAGGAGGCCCTGGAGCACGCTGGGGTTGGAGCGGACAAACGTGCTGTTGATCTGATCCAGCAGCATCACCAGCTGGTCCTTGTCGCCTGTCAGGATCAGGTTGCCCTGCAGAGAGAATCGTCCACCAAACTTGAGAGGCCGAGTGGAGAGGCTCCTAGGAGACCAGCCTGGCTTCGGCCTGCCTGCGTCCCACGCAGAGATGGGGCTAGGGTCATCTGGGAGTGGGGTGCTGACTCTGGAGCCTTCGGAGTCTGGCAGCAGCAAGGCAGAGGAACAAGGGGAGCCCGTTCCCAGGGCGCGCTTGCACAGAGCTGCCAGAAGGCAAGAGCAGCTGACACAAAAGGCGACGCGGGAGTAAGGCTGGGAGGTGATCGGCCCTCCCATAAGGTATAAAGGACAGGCAAAGGTGAAGAAACCTTTGCAGGAAGCAAAGTCGTTGGTTCGGTTCAGGGGGCTCTTTGTACCTGGAGGCAATAGAGGCTGACTCTGTAAACTGCTTAGAGAGGGCTGTAAAAGCACTGTGAAGTGGTAGGTAAGTCTAAGCGCTATTGCTAAGTGCTATTTTGCCGTGCGATGATCAGTTCAGGCTATGCAATGCTGCGATACACTTGACCTCTAATCAAACTATACACCTTTTCCTATACATCGTTTCTATTCAGGAGGTTTAAGTGGTGGCAGGTCTGACACTCTGCCTCTGAAGGCCACCCACCTCCTTCTCCCCCCCCACAATTTACACCCGTGCACCAACCTTGTCCTCATTCAGTGGCTCCGCGTTGGACTCGTCCAGGATAATCTCCATGATGCTGAGGACCTGTTCTGCCACCGCCGCTCCCCCGCTGTCCTTGCTTTCCTGCTCAGCCACCAAAGCCTATGAAGAGGACGCAAACGAGAGCGCTGGAGAGCTTGGCCACCTCTTTGCTGGCCCAGGGCGCCACCCCCTTCCTTGTCCCCAAGCAGGGAAGGACAGAGACAGAGAAGCAGAACCTGCCAGGTGGTGGTGAGACGTGTCCGCCTTACCAAGTTCAGCGTCCCCAGCATGACGTTGAGCGTGTTCATCTCCAGCTTCACCAGCTGCTGGCGGTTGACCTTCACTTTGACACAGTAGCTGAAGAGCTTCAGCAGGACCTGGTGGGGGAGGAAGAGGTGGTCAAAGCTTTCAGGAGCAGCTTCCACCCAAGCAACCACGTTGAAAGCCCCACGGACCAGGTGCCTCTCAAAGGAAGGACAGCAAGCAATTGTCGTGAAGATGGCTGCCTGATGGCCGGAGTTTCCCTTCACTGCTTGGAAAGATCCCTTAGATCAGGGGTGTCGAACTCAAGGCCTGCGGGCAGGGTCCAGCTCATGGGGTGCTTAAATCAGGCCCACAGGCCTGCCCTGGAAACAGCAAAGGACCAGCAGCGAAAACAAGAGCTCGGGGAGGTTTATTTTCGCTGGCAGGGGGCTATCAAAACAAACTAAAAATGAAACGAAAGGAGTAATGTTTCCCCTTTTGCATTTTAGCATGCAAGACGGGACAGGAAAGGAGAAAGGGAAAGAGGAAAGACAAAGATGGGAAGAGGGGAAGGAAGGAGAAAGAAGAAAAGAGGGGAAGGAAGAAGAAAGGAGAAGGAAGAGGGAAGGAAAAAGAAAAAAAGGAAGGAAGGAAGGAAGGAAGGAAGGAAGGAAGGAAGGAAGGAAGGAAGGAAGGGAAGGGAAGGAGGGAGATTATAATGAGTGTGAGGGAGGGTCGCGAGGAAGGGTCTCAGGGAAACTTTGCCACAAGTGCCCCCGACACAAGTACTGTGTCATGCCTACCATAGCCACGCCCATCCCTGGTGATGCCCCAAGCCATGCCCACCCACCGCCCAGGCCCTCGGAGGTCAAACACAACCCAGATGCGGCCCTCAATGAAACTGAGTTTGACACCCCTGCCTTAGATGTTATCAGGAAAGGCCTCCTTGGTCCATCTAATTCAGGGCTCTTCCAACTTGACAGCTTTAAGACGTGTGGACTTCAACTCCCAGAATTCCTCTGCCAGTCACGTTAGCTCAGGGATTCTGGGAGTTGGAAGTCCACAAGTCTTAAACCTGCCAAGTTTGAAAACTCTCTGGGGTTGGTAGAGAGTCCAAGGCTTGAGGCAAGAATTCCTCCAGGCATTGCCAGGAGCTGCTAGGGGCTCTGCTAATTGGCTGCCTGCTTCTGGGCCCCTGGGCTGGAGTTGATCTTTAGATACTGGAGCCGTTTGGACCGACACTGACCCAAAACCCAAAGAGGAGTGAGAAGGAGGTAGCCGTTGATGTTCAACAAAACTCCTCCCTTTGCTGGAGGTGTAACTCAAAGATTTCTTTTTCTCTCTTTCCTCCGTCGACCTCTGGGGGAAGCCAATGGCCCTCTTCTTCACACAGCCGTCCCGCTAGCCAAGGATTTCCAACAGGAAGGGAAGGGGAGGGATGCGGCTCACCGTCAGCAGATGACGGCCTTGTTTAAAGTCTTTGATCCCGGTCAAGCGGTTCAGCATGCAGCCCAGACCGCCGCACTGCGCCATGACTCCCGCCATCTTGTACACCTCTTCCTCATCCTCCTCTTCATCTGGGGGGGGAAAAAAGAAAAGAGGCTTTCAGGAGAGGAACAACAGAGCATCAACAAGGCCTGGAAGAAAAGACCCTGGCTCCTTTTCCCCCGGGGCAGGCACACGACTTTTAATTTCACAACACCTAGAGAGGTTTAACCAGAGTTTCCAGGGGGAAAAGGTGACCATCCTAGACCAGGCCAAGTCCAAAAATGGCCAGGGGATTTCTAGGAGCCTGGCATTCTGGCTCAATCAGCCATCCATGGACACGTAGACATTAACAACATCTCCAGACGAAGCAAAAAAGGGACAGTCAAACAGCCCAAAAAGGAACAAAAAGACTCCACCAGCAATCAGCACACCAAATCAATAGAGATTAACTCTAAGGGTGACAGCAGACCAACAATCCAGTAAACAAAACCCCAACCAAGAAAATTCCCAAGAGCCACCAGTCAACGGCCCAAAGAAAGAACCTCTCAGGCTGCCCCCCACCAACACGGACAGGGCAAGTCATCCGAATATAAACCGACAGCAAACAGCTCTCCTTACTAGCACTGATGATGCTACGTAGTTGGGGTAATGAAACCTCTGCAGGAAATCATTTCAGCCAGCTCAAGACAGCACCAAGGACTCCACAATTCTCCTCCTCCTCCTCCTCATCTCCACAAACCCAACTTCCATGTCCTTCATCTCTTCCTTTCCTCCTCTTCTTCCTTCACTTCTGTGTCTTTCATCTCCTCCTCCTCTTCCTTCTCTTCCTCCTCCACTTCTGTGCCTTTCATCTCCTCCTCCTCCTCTTCCTCGTCCACTTCTGTGCCTTTCATCTCCTCCTCCTCCTCTTCCTCCTCCAC